TTACAAAATCCTCTTTTCTTCTTTTGCTCTAAAGGGGGATCTTTTGCCCCATGAGGGACAATAATCTAACCATCTTTAACTAATAAATCAAATAGTTCGTCGCACTTAGATACATCAAAAGTATAAGTTTTTGCAATGTATTTATCTACTTTTCAGTTTTGACAGGATTTTTTCCGGTTGATGGTTTTAATAATTTACACGTGTACGAAGGCACTGGCTTGAGTTCAACCACGTTAACCTCGCTTTCGTCAACAAGCTTCTCATTGTTAGAAAAGTATTCGTCAGCGGCTACGTATGAAACTTTCTTTTTCTTACGATATCTGTTAGCTTGGGCTTTTTCAGATTTCAAATGTTCGACTTGTCGGACCCTATCAGCTAGCTGCACCATATCACTGAGATATTGCGTGTCTAACTTTTTTCTGATTGAGTAATCTAGGCCGCCAACCGCTATCTCGACTAGCTTATGTTCGGGGACTTGAGTGAAACATCATGCTTTCAAAAGTATAAACCTGTTAAGATATGGTCCACCGATTATATGGGCTTCCGTTTGACACTGGTTATCTCTTTCAGACTAATTTTTGATTGTCTCATATAAAACTGTTCATGAAACAACCTTTCTAATTGTGCCCAGGTATGGACAGACTGTAGGGGTAACGTGGTAAACCAAGTAAACACATTCTTTGTGATGGAACTTGGAAAATACTTCATTTTCAAGTCCTAATTGTTTGCTACGTCACCAGCTTCAGTTTGATATCTGGCAATATGTTCGACAGTGGGCTCTTCGGTCTTTCTAGCGAATTTGGCGAACTTTGGAACCTTCCATCCCCTAGGAAGCTCTGTTTGCAAAACAAAGTCTGGTAGTGGGGACGTATATATTGGCCGTCGAAGGTCTGGGTTTGCTCCATTATGAACCATAATTTGTTCCACCATAACTTCTAAGTTTGGTTCGCCAGCCATGGCTTTGTGTTGAACTTGTCTGACCACATAGTCCGAGTCTTGGTTCCTATGAACTAAAATAACGGGAGACCTTTGGGCCACCTTAGATGTGTGTTCAACCTAATGGAGTTGTTGGTCGATTGTTTTGTCGAAGACTTCGTCTTGTCAAATTGGCGTCTTCGGTCGAGGTGGAGGAGTTCGTCGACCCGGGGCCCTAAAAGCGCCTAAAAATCACCTACTTGTGTCATCTGAGTCGCCAACTATTGGTAACTCTAGATCAAATCTTATATTAATGGTCTTAATATGCTGCCCATTTGTTGGGTCAACATGTGAACCATTTTGTGATTACTTTCATCCATCTGCTGTCTCATAACAGCGACAGAACTTGAGGTGAAAGTTGGAATTGATTTAGATGAAAAACTAAACCCTGGGGGCCTAGTAACTTGGTTTGCTAAAGACCTTAATCCTTGATACGGTGAGAAAGTTGACAATGAACTTTCTCCAAAGAGTGACCACTATGATGTAAGCTTGACATGAACTATGTTGGCATCCCAAAGACTCAAGGCGTGGGCATTGTGAAACTTGGCACATACTGCCCCCCAGTTCCCGCCATCATAGGCCTAGGTTTAGGTCGACGTGGCGTCATGATAGGCCCACTATGTGCAGTCAAAACCGCAGACACAATGTCAACGCCAACATTAGTTGTTTGTGTCACAACTGTATTTCCCTCCGAAGGCAGTTCTTCGTTTGGAAGTGGTATCACCATCTTAACACTATGTAAATGCATACACCCAAACCAATGTGTCCCACTGGGCATGCCAATTTGTTCTCACACGGTTTTCGCGTGAACAACCTTTGGCCTCCTAACGCAAGTTTACTTGCGGGACCGGCCAAACAAGTCCTAGAACAATCTGGTCGAGTCTATGCGATGTTGGTATAATGGTTTTTGTTTAGAGTAAGTCGGAAACAAACTTGAAGAAAAAGTGTACACGAATTGATAAACAAGCAAGTAAACAAGTAAAAGGAAAGATATCTTAAATTTTGGTAATGTAAATTGCTTTAAAAAGAAATGTGGACGCTATTATACATTTTGCAGGAGCGAACTCTTTTCTATTAACGTTTGGTACTTAAAGTGTATTCCTTTGACAATGTTACAAAATGCGACCTCCTTAAATGAAAATGGACATTGCTTTAAATAGAAAAAGAAAATAACTGCTTTTATCTCAATGTTGGTCCTGGTGGTGACACGTGTTGCTCCACCATCTTTGTAACTTCCCGACATTCTCAGCCTTTCAAATTCCTTTCCGCTCAAAGGTTCCCACACTTTATGTCGGTTTCATTGGCCATTAATCGACACCTTCGACGATATAACTTTGGATCAACTCACAATACATCTCCTGCTGGCGTCGACTTACGATATATCCTCCGCTGGCGTTGACTTGGGTCTTTTCCTTCGCCATCTTCCTGGCTTGTCGACCCATATGTTAGCCTTTTCGTCAACTCTTCTCAGTCGAAATCTTCCAGCCAACGGAGGCTTATATTGAGTGAAGGAAATAATTCTTATTTCCATGCATATTTGAATAGCAAGATGATGTAAACAAACATAAAAAACACATGCAAAGCTGATGGAACTACAATCACTAAACAAGAGGACATTAAAAATGAGGTTTTAGAGTTCTATGGACAATTGATGGGCACTGCTACAACCAGCTTGAATGGGATTGATATTGTAGCAATGAGGAGTGGAAATCAACTCACCATGGATAAAAGAACTTCCTTCAATGCCCCAGTGAAGACTAAGAAAATTGACCAGGATCTAAAGGACATTAGAGACCTGAAAGCTTCAGGTCTTAATGGGTATGGATAAAATTTTTTTAAATCTGCTTGGAATATTGTGAAGAAAGATTTCATAGCAGCAATTATGGAATTATTTATGTAAGGAAAATGCATAAGCCCATTAATGGCGCTTTGGTCACCCTCATTCCAAAGAATCCTGATGCAAAAACCATTAGAGATTATAGACCTTTATCCCGCTGTTCTACAATTTATAAGGTTATATCAAAGGTGATGGCTACAAAAATGGGCAAGGTCCTAAGCAGCATAGTAAACCAGAGTTAGACAACTTTCATACTAAGTCAAAAAATTCATGATCATATTCAGTTGGCTTATGAATTGGTTAGACGATACTCAAGGAAGGGTAGAGTTTTTAGATGCATGCTTAAAATGGATATTCAAAAGGATTACGACACAATCGACCGAAATGCTTTAGAGACACTCTTTAAGGAGACTAGCTTTCCAAGACAATTCATTAGGTGGATTACGATTATTGTGACCACAATGACATACAAGTTTAGAATAAATGGCCTCCATACAAAATAATTGAAAGCTAAGACGGGTCTGAGGCAGAGCAACCCCATATCCCCTTTGCTTTTTGTCATAGTAATGGAATATGTTCCTAGAAAGTTGAAAAAACTTGACAAAGTCCCAGATTTCAACTACCATTTTAAGTGTGAAACACTACATATCATTAACCTCAGTTTTGCTGATGAACTGCTGCTATTTACCGAAGGGACATAAAATCAATTGAGCTTGTGATGAATTCTTTCAAGGATTTCTCAAAATCCATAGGTCTAATAGTGAATCACACTAAATGCAAGACTTATTTTGGTGGAATGGAATATGACATCAAAAAGAAAATAAAATATCTCACCTCCTTTTACTAAAGGCCTCTCCTTTTTAGGTATTAGAGATCCCACTTACAAGTAAGAAATTATCCAATCAACATTCATGATTTTTGTGGATAAGATTGTTTTGAGAATTAGGCATTGGAGTGCAACCTTACTGAGCTATGCAGGTAGGTTAGAACCAATAAGAAATGTGCTTTTTGCTACAACTAATTATTGACTATAATGCATTATCCTTCAAAAAATGGTCATCCAGAAGATATAAGCAATTTGTAAAACTTTCCTTTGTAGTGGTAGAGGAGACATCACTAGAAAAGCTCTTGTGGCTTGGAAACAAGTGTGTGAACCGAAACATTATGAATGAATGAACTTGATCTCTTTAGTTGAATGGAATCAAGCTAATATGGTTAAATTATTGTGGAACTTAAGTAGTAAAACGGATAAACTTTGGATCAAGTGGATCCATTGCTTACATAAAAAGTAACATTTTTGTGAATGTACCAATTACTGCAACTTACTATTGGATTCTCAAAGAAATCCTAAAGCAAAGAAACATGGTGCAAATCATGCAAGAATGACAACATGTGCAACATAATATGAAGTTTAAAACAAGAAAGTCACCTACAAGTTTTGTGGAGGAAATTGTTTTTTTGATAATGTGGCGATACCAAATACAATGTTTGTAATGTGGATTGCTTTCCATGACAGACTGACAACAAAAGAATGATTGCATAGATTTAGGATATTGGATAATGACAAATGCAACTTCTGCAGTCACTTTGAAACTCTAAACCACTTGATGTTTGTGTGCTCTATCTTAAGGTCAGTGTGGAGATATGTTCTTGAATGACTCCAAAACTCTCACACCCTTAAAATATGGATGGACGAACTGCCGTGGATTTTAAATACAATCAAAGGAAAAGGTTAAAGGCCACAATTTATAAAGAAAGCGTTTACGAAAATGATATATGAGAACTGAAGATATAAAGATGACAAAACTTATGTAACACTATAAATAATCACAAAAGTTTTTATTTATAAGACGTAGACTAAACCCAAACTGCGTGAACATGTAGCTAGATTGATGATATGGTAACTTAAGCGAAAGTTACATTAATTTTAACACTTGTTTACTTATTTTTTGAGCTTGATCGATTATAGAATCATCTAGTACATATTTATTTTTGATTAATATCAAATTTTTTATTTTCCAAAAAGAAAAAATTGTAGGGGGCGAGAGGACACATGTAGAGATAAAATTCTCATTTAAATGCAGACCCATAAAAGGGTTCATAAAAAAATATTTCAGAACATTTCCAAAAACCATTTTCATTTTAGGGTTTTATCTAGAACTCGGAGTATCCATTACCACCCGCAACAATGTCAGACCTGCCATCTATTCCTCCGGCCGACCAACTAGCCGCCGTCACTCTCGACTCCGACGAGATCCCCAAAGCAGAATTCTCAGACAGAGTTCCGATCCAATCCATAATCCGCCGTGAAGACGGCGGCTCAGGTTTAGCAGGTAAGAAAGCAAGGGTTGGCGGATGGGTGAAAACCGGACGGAAAGCCGATAAAGATGCTTTCGCTTTCTTGGAACTAAACGACGGATCCTGCGCCGGAAACCTTCAAGTTATCGTCGAAGCTTCCCTTGCAGACCTTGGACAACTCGTTCTCACCGGAACTAGCGTCATCATCGATGGCCATCTCAAACTTCCTCCCGCCGGTACTAAACAGAAGATCGAGCTCCGCGCCGATAAGGTTCTGCATGTAGGTCCTGTTGATCCTGCCAAGTATCCATTGCCTAAAGGGAGACTCACTCTTGAATTCTTACGAGATTTCGTTCATCTTCGTCCCAGAACCAACGCGGTACATTTCTTATATAAATAAGTAACAATTGAATTGAATATAGTAATGTAAGTTAGCATGTTAATTTTTGTTGTTACAGTTTTTCGGATTGAATTTTGAGTTTTGTTATAGTAATAATAGACTAGTTTGGATTGAATTTAATATAAATGTAAGATAGCATGTTGATTTTGTTGTTGCAGTTATTGGGATTGAATTTTGAGTTTTGTTCTAGTAATGATAGATTAGTTGCTTCTTTTTTTATTTATGCAATTTTGAAATGATTTATGCTTTTGAAGCTAGTACAATTTATGCATGTTATGTAACTATTGGGTGTGAGTTGATTGTAGATATCTGCTGTTGCTCGAATTCGGAATGCTCTTGCTTATGCTACGCATACGTTTTTCAACAAGCATGGTTTTCTTTATGTGCACACGCCAATTGTCACGACGAGTGATTGTGAAGGTGCTGGTGAAATGTTTCAAGTGACAACTTTGTTCAGTGAAGCAGAGAGGTTGGAGAAGGATCTTATACAGAATCCTCCTCCAACTGAAGCTGATATTGAAGCTGCTAAGCTTGTTGTTCAGGAAAAAGGGGAGGTTGTTTCACAATTGAAATCTGCCAAAGCCAATAAGAAGGAGATTACTGCTTCTGTGGATGAACTTAAAAAAGCAAAAGAGAATGTATCCAAGCTAGAGGAAAGATCTAAACTTCAGCCTGGAATTCCTCGAAAGGATGGAAAGGTGGATTATACTAAAGATTTCTTTGCCCGTCAAGCTTTTCTCACTGTTTCTGGTCAGCTTCAAGTTGAGTCTTATGTGTGTGCTCTTAGTAGTGTGTATACATTTGGCCCGACATTCCGTGCTGAGAATTCTCACACTTCAAGGCATCTGGCTGAATTTTGGATGGTAGAACCTGAAATTGCGTTTGCAGACTTGGAGGTATATTAAACATGAACTCACTCTCGATCTTATTATGATTATTATCACTGACAATTCTTTGAAGTTTATTGAAATAAAATGTATCCAATTTTTCCCTATCAAAATTTTCACTATGAACTGTTTTATTTGTTGTTATTGGTGGAATACTTATTGGCTTAATGTCAATTGAAATATTTAATCTTTTAGTGCAATAAACTTAATTTTTCAGTTCAATATTGAACTGCAAACCGCATACATACTCCTACCTACGGTTGGTGCTTTTGCTTTTGTTGTGGCACAAATAACAGTTTGATTTTTTTTGTGTAGGATGATATGAACTGTGCCGAGGCATATGTGAAATTTTTGTGTCAGTGGTTACTTGACAACTGCCTTGAAGATATGCAATTTATGGCTGACAAGATTGACAAAGGTTGCATTGATCGTTTGAAATTGGTTGCCTCCACCCCCTTTGTTCGACTTTCATATACAGAAGCCGTGGAAATACTGGAGGAATCTGTGAAGAATGGTAAGAAATTTGAGAATGAAGTAAAATGGGGGATTGATTTAGCTTCTGAGCATGAAAGGTACTTCTACAGTTAATTAATGTTCTTATTGAATTGTTTTTTTTCCTCAATGACAAATGCTAGTTGTTAGTTTTGTGAGTGTGTGGAGTTGAACCGATGGCCTCATCACTTTGCCCTATGCAACCACCAACCCACCTATTGAATTAGGTTGTGTGATGCCTTTGGATTATGATATGCAGATACCTTACAGAAGTTAAGTATCAAAAGCCTGTCATAGTTTATAACTATCCAAAAGATATCAAAGCGTTTTACATGCGCCTCAATGATGACTCAAAGACAGTGGCTGCTATGGATGTTCTTGTCCCAAAGGTATGTATCCCGTATATATTTTTATTTTTAACATGTCCATGGTGCAAGGTAGTCAAGCAAGTGAACTTAAGTAGGATCGGATGGCCTGGAAAAGATAGTAAAACTATGATCGTAACTGATTTGTAACTAACAACTTGTAACTAACTGACTGACTAGTGTCAGTCAGTCCTAGGCCTTACTTGCTACAGCAGGTCACCAATTAGATACTCATAAATAGGTCTGATCTAGTGTAATTACAAATCAATCAAATACAATTCAGATTTTTTCGTAGATTCCAAGTGAATCATGGCCAATATCAATCCATTAAGTAGGAATTAGATTTAAATGCTTTATCAGAAAACATGATTTACTTATTGTGATTCTAATCAAGGATACAAATGAGATATATTATATACCTTGTGGCTTTTGTGGTTGGCATAACCGAATCATGTAAATGTATTTTCAGGTTGGAGAGTTAATTGGTGGAAGCCAAAGGGAAGAGCGTTATGATGTCATTCAACAAAGGTAAATTCTAATTTCCGTTTACTCTATAAAAATGTGCTCTTTTTACTGTGTTTCCTTTTGAAAGGATTTTTCTGTTCATGGAATTTATTTTATTTTCCTTGCTAAAATGTTACAGATTAAAGGACATGGATCTGCCTGTTGAGCCATATGAATGGTACCTTGATCTGAGGCGGTATGGAACTGTGAAACATGCTGGATTTGGTCTCGGCTTTGAAAGGATGATTCTTTTTGCTACCGGCCTGGAAAATATTAGAGATGTGATTCCCTTCCCCCGGTACCCTGGCAGAGCAGATTTATGATTATTCTTGACCAATTACTCAAGTGGCTACTATAATTTCCTTGCTGAAGTCGTAGTTAAGTTGAAAACAGAAATTATTTTTCATATAGAACATAAATGTCAGTCGATTGTCCTAGGTGGGTTGCAGTTTTCGACTTAGCAATTTATTTACTTTTGAGAGTGCTGGGTTTTTGGATGGTAAACCCCTTTTTCATTTATGTTGTTTCTGCTTTTGTTTTATTTATTTCATTATATAGCATTGAAACAACTTGTTGGGAAGGATCTGCAAATCACATTCCAGTTTTACTTGTCCGGCACGACTGGTTCAAAATGAATTATTCTTGGTTTTATGGTTGATAACCACGGTATAAAAATCCCTTTAAAGGTTCCTGAAATTGCAATATTAACCCATAATAGATTTTTTTTTCCTTCTCAAAACTTCCAAACTATAAAAAATTCCTAGTCTATTATTAAATGAATTAAATTGCAGCAATATTGGTCTATTGGACCTGTTTCTTTTAACTTTAAAAAATTGGAATTTTTATTTATATTTTTAAAAACTGATTTTATAAAACCATTTTTTAAAAATATTGTTAGTTTTTCTTCTAAAATATAAATATTAATTTTGTTTTTTCAAAATTTGTATTTCAAAAATGACTTATCCAAAATCATTTGTAATAGTTTTAATTTAAAATAATATTTTGAGTGATTATTCAAATCATATTCTTATTTGATGCCTTTATATATTTTCTTTAATTTAATTGTAATTTTGGTCTCTTATTTTTTTATTTTTGATCTTTTTATTTTAAAATCTAAAATTTTGTTCCTTTTATTTTTGATCGTTTTTTTAAAATCTATATTTTAATACCTCTATTTTTATTTTTATTTTTAACTTTTGATCACCTTATTTTAAGTTTGTTTTGGATTTTAGTCTTCTTTCATTTGAGAAAAGGGATCAAAAATCTAAAAATAAAAATAAGGGGACTAAAATTTTAGATTTTAAAATAGAGGCATCAAAAGTCAACAAAAATGAAAATAGGGGGAGACAAATTTCAGATTTTAAAATAGAAAGACCAAAAATAAAAAAAATAAAAATAGGAGGATCAAAATTACAATTAATCCAATTTCTTTTTATTCTTTCAAAAAAGTCAAAACAACGAGTCTATTATGAAGGATTTGTTTGTATAGAGTTGTAAGGTTGGTTGGTGTCAGGAATGATGATGGTTGGAGTTTGAGCAGGGTAATCGAAGTTTAAAAAAATTTGTATATCTAAGTGGATATCAACGTTTGTATTCGTATTCATATTTCTAATAAAAAATGATTATCAATTATAACTTATCATGTCATTTTAAAATTTTAACAACATTTAAAAAAATTGAATATGTTATTGTTGAATTAAGAAATAAACAAATACTTATATTAAAATGCGTAAAAATTTAATAGTGGTATATTAAATAAAATTGCTATATTAGCATATGCATATGATAAATAATGAAAATAAAATATGTAAATATATATCGTACGGATATAAAACGGATTGAGTATTAAGATACCAATATTCACATTCATACCTATTTATTTTAGAGAATAATTTTTTTGTATCCATATAAATGCCTATTTTGTAGATTTTCACTCTATTTATTATAAATTAGTTTTAAGAATATCCACTAAAAATAAGTACAATTACCTAAGTTGGTGTTTATTATTTTATAGCTTGACTTAGACAGAGAATCAATGTTCGAATACTTGAAAATTATTCTAGGCATTTCTTTTAATAGTTTAATGTTAGAATTTCACTTTAAGAAAAATAAAAATGAGTAAGTAATATGTTGTGAGTTAACACCTACTCCTCAGCAATTGACTAATACGTCTGTTCTGGACTGGACCCAGACCCACCCATCCGTCGGACAGACTCAGCCCAACGCTATTTAGGGAAGGTCCAAATAGGTCTAAATTGCCTAGTGTCGAGCACAGGTTCTCCCGGTCACCGTTGACCAGACAGCTCCCTCGTCGAGCAGGACAGTCCCTCTGTCGGGCAGGACAACATGTCTTCTACACGTTCTCCACGTGCCCCCTCCGCGGGGACACGTCATCATCCAACTACCCACCTCCGAAAGAGCTGGTCAACCCACCTTACGGAGATCACGGGACGGTTGAACTAGGGCGAAAACCACGTGCTGGTCTTCACTACGCCACGTAAGTCCTAGCAGTCACCTGGGTTGGGTCTGACAATCCAGCCAAACACAAGTGACCGTTGGCCCTATGCTGGGGTCTCTATATAAATACCTTCTTTCACAAGAGGGTCAGATATTCACTTCTTAACCTCTCTTATGTATTTGCTCCCACTCTGATCCATTATTTACTTTGGCATCGGAGTGTCTTGCAGGTACACCCCTCCTCGTCCATATTCCTTGTGAGTAGCTTGCAGATGAACGACGCGTGGCAGGTCAGAGCTTTTAAAAACTTATGTGTTTTACTAATTTTTTTTTAAAAAAAATTCGGTATTGTATCAAATTTTTCGTAAAATTCGATATTGTAAAATTTGGTTTATTTTTTGTTTATTGAAAATTATCTATCATATTTTTTTTAAAATCCAAAAATTAAAAACCTTACTTATTTAGAAAAAAAAAATCGCAGTGTTAAATTCATTTATTTAAAAACCAATAAAAATGTATACAAAATTTTTTAAAATACATTATAAGAATTTTTAATTTAAACCGGATTTTTATTTGCACTATTGAATTTTTCGTTAATTTTTAACAAAAATATTTTTGGTATTATAAAAATATATGGGGTGCCAAGTGTATGTGGGATCGTTAGGATAAAATCTCTAAAACTTGTTTCTATGACCCAAACTATTCATTGATCAAACTATCAAGTCCAGTAGAGATCAGAAAAGCATGGCCCGTCATCCAAAGGAGACTGTATTCATGGAGTTCTCTCTATAAAAGAATCTCTTGTCACTCTTTTATCCATTCTCCAATCTCAAATGTCATATTATTTTATTTTGACTTATAAATTACCTTGACAAAAAATCTTTAAATTTTTTAAAATTAAACAATTTTTATTTACTTTTACTAAATTATAGTTTTAATCTCTTTATTTTGCCTTGCTCATGTGACATACATTTACTGACTATGACGAAAGGTTAATATTCATTTTCTCTCATTTTATTAATATGTTAATTTATTAATTAAATTAAAATTTATTAAAATATATTTATTAAATTGTATAATAGTAATTAAAAACATTTTATGTTAAAGTAAACCACAAATCATAAATTATGAGAAAGAGAACCATTAAGAAGACGAACATAAGGACAAATTAAGACACAAATGAAAAAGACGACGAACATAGGAACAAATAAAGACACAATTAAAAAAGACGAATGAAGGAACAAAATGACTTTGAAGTTCAGGAAAAGGTATAATTTTTATTTTTATTTTTTATATACAACTATATCAGCTATAATATAAAACATTATTGAATTCACAGAGACTGTAACACTTCAGATTGCTTTCAGGATTACCAACTCATCCCACAAAGCAACACGAGTTTTTTCAGTATGTTTTGTTCTCACTCACATATTTTTTGAGAAACTTCTCAGAAGGTCACCCATTCAAATACTACTCCATAGTTAAGTAGGCCACCGAAGAGAATATGCATCTTGTTAGTATATATAGTACCAATCAATCCTTATAAGTCCTTCTTCAACCATACATCCCCATACCTGTACAACCTCAGGATCTCTCTCATTCCGATGTGAATTAGGTTTTTGCATAGATATTGCCAAGAGTTGTTCATTGTTATGCCTTGTGCACCGACGACCACTCACCGCCCTCATCGGTCCTAGGTGTACCATGCCTACCAACTTCTGATTAGTTCGTCCTCGAACCACACAACGTATTGGGAGAGGTACGACCCTGCTACCATTTGCAATGCCCTAGACTACTTTCAGGATTACCGACTGACTCTACAAACCAACACACGTATTTCCAACATGCTTTGTCCTCACTCACACGCTTTTCTGAAAGCTTCTTAGAAGTTCACCTATCTAAATACTACTCCAAATCAGACACGCTTAGTTATGAAGTTCTTATTTGTTAGGCTACCAAAGAGAAAATGCACATTTTTGGTACAAGTAGTACCAAACAATCCTTATAAGCCTTCCTTTAACCATGCAGTCCCATACTTGCACAGCCTCAGATCCCTCTCATTCTGATGTGAATTCGATTTTTTCCTAGAAGTTACCAACATTCACTCATTGTCATGCCTTGTGCACGGAGACGATATCTATCATTCCTATGTTTAGCTAAGCCTACTAAAATGGTTGGTTTTACGAGAAAAGTGAAAAATAATGGAATTAAATAAATATTAGTAACGAGAGACCAAAACAAGACTCGTATTTACCATTTTTATTAATATAAATTGCAACATTTAATTATCACGAGAATTTTATAATATGTAGAAAATATTAACTAGTGGTAGATCACACAAAGCTTTTTCGAAATTCATCGTGCCTATAATACCATTTTTTTTTTGAAACTCATCTTTCCTATAATACAGGGAACTGAAAAGCTCCCATAATCTTTTAATTTCGAAGGTACTTCATTTTAGATGATATCATTTCACTCTTTTGTCAGCATTACAGTATCAATATCTTATAGTTCTCACTTTTTAAATAAAATCTCCTTAAGGAATTTGGCATAAGATGACATTTGTGACAATGCCACAGTGAAAAGGATGTTGATATACAACTTTTTCAACACTTCAACAAACTTTCTAAAATGGTCTTCTATCTTTGTCGTCACTAATCTTTATGGAAGCGGGATACGAGGCTTATATGGTCGGGGAGGCACATGCAACTCTTCCTTTTCTTCTTCAACTACCTCTTTCACAAGCAGTGTTGGTTCTCCTTCCTTTCAAGATGGTACATATTCACTCTCAGTATCCTTTCCATCATCCTTCTTATTAGCAGCGACCTTTAGTTCATTGCTACTTCACAATATTATATCATTCACA